GTCTCTCCTGTGACCAGAGCCACAATACACAACTTAATGACAAGAGCCATAAGAACCACATTAACAACATTCAATCTTATAGCATAATTCCAAAGACTGGCCTAAAATGAGACTAATCTCATCCAAATCGTGTGTCTGTGTCATTATATTTCCCATGTACTGTGTAAGCTCATTAGTGTTTGCAAATGTGCCTTCATTTAATGTATTCCAAGGATTTCTTTAGCTTCCACCCCATTATGTTCCCTTAAATCTTTGTTTACCTGTAAAAGCAGGAGTAAAAGAGGCCGCAGAAAAGGCACTTTGTGCCCTTGTTAGTCCAGGTTGGCTGCAGAAAGAAAATAAGCAATTATAAGCGTTTAAGAAAGACGACATATCCATTTTCATTAATTCTGTTCTGTATCTCAACTTATTGTACCATTTTTAGACTAAAATGTACAATGCTTTAGAATGAGCCACATTGATAACTACTAAAAGATGTTATTTTTTAAAGTACAAGTTGATGATGAAATTAAATGTATTTTATGATATAAAGTTTATGACAGAAAATATATATTTTTAGTTTATGTTTTTCTTATGTTTAGAAAGAAAAGTGCAAAAAGTGTCCCATTTCCTGATTAATTTCAATCACCAGTATGTGTGAGGGGCTAAATCTTTGATTGGAATGTTAACTGTTTTAGGGACAAATTTAAAGCTGCACAACATGCAGAAAGGCCATAGGTTAAAGACCATAGTTTCTAAGTAAGTAAACAATGAATGCTAATATGCCATGTGTTGTTGCATACACAATTTCCAATGTGTTTTTGGAAAGAGGTTTACGATTTAATAGTAAATTACGGTCTGTGTTGTTCTACAACTCAAAATTACACACAAATTTGAAGCCACTGTACAGACAATAGGTTACTAACCATATTTGGACTACAATGGTTGTCAGAGTTGGGAAAGTTACTTTGGAAATGTAATAGGTTACAGATTACAAAGTTACCCTATTTAAAATGTAATAATTAGTGTAACTATTTCAGTTAGCTACTTTATTCATGTAACTGGTTAGATTTGATTACTTCCTAATTACTTTTCTAAATTTATAACAAATGTTAATCATTTTGAAACATTTAAAGCAGGCATGGTTAATCAAATCCTTGCATATGACAGGAAACACTGGCATCTAACAATGCATTGGAAAAAAAAATTTAATCTTAAAAAATAAAGCATATACACAAACCCAAATAGGAAATTAATCAGTTAAGCATGTGTCCTATTCTGTCCTAAACTCCTGAAACATTGGTGTCTCATATTTTAAAGCAGTCAATGCAATTTGTGAAAGAAATCAATCATATCTGTATGTGTGTGAAAATATTGTGTAACCCCTTTTAATCGTTAAAAAAATTTTTCAGTAACTAATATATTACAGTTACACTTATTTTGTAATTCAATTATGTAATTCCATTTGATGTAACTTACTCCCCAACACTGATGGCTGTCCTGTTCATTAAGCAATATAAAAAAAAAAAAACTGCTTTTAAATTTAGATTTAAGGTGTGTAGTTTATGTTGTATGAAAACAAACAAGAAATTGTCCTCAAATTATACAGTATAGACATAAAGTCACAGGGAAACATGTATACATGTAAATAAAACTAGGCCTATACAAAAGGTCAAAGCTCCAGTATTTCATTCAGGTTGTTTGGGGCGGAAGGACTCACCTGGCCGTGTCTTGTTCTCCACCGCTCGCTCCGGACATGTCAACTAAACTGCCCGCCGAGGATATGGAGAACGTGACTGAAGGTCTCTTGTCTAAAAGGTTGTTAGAGCCACTACAGCTTTTAGTTCTGAAAAGTTTACTCAGACGGATTTTAAGCGAGCCCTTCCTGGATTTCCCTGGTACTTTCATAGTCTTCTCTCCTCCGTTCGCAGCGGAAAGATGCGCCCGGGTCGCGCTCCGGTCCGGATGGGCCTTCGGCGTCGACGCCTGGCTGGAGCACGGGGTGCCCTGGCTGGGTTCGGCTTGGGACGGGACCTCTGGAGTCAGTCTGTCGCTCGCAGGAGCCTGAGGCCTGGTGCTTACCGAGTCTCGTAACAAGCAACACGCCGGCGAGCAAAGTCCCCCGGACACCACCGAAGGGAAACACTTGAGCGCAAAAGCACCCGGCTCCGCGTTCTGAGACTCGGTCTTCTGGCACGCATTGATGCCCAGGCCGTTCACCTCCTCTGACCCGAGGCCCTCCAGCACCAGCAGCGCATCGCTGGTCTCGGTCGGGTCCTCTCCCTGTCTGATACCAGCCGAACTGAGCACGCTTTGACAAGAGCAGCGCTGCAGCTCGCCATCCTTGAGCAGAAACTCGGGAACCGGAGCGACTCCCAGCTCGCCGAATTTCCTCGCCAGCTCTAGCACAGGACCGTCGGGCAGCTGATGGAGCTGCCGCTGCGCCATCACCGAGCTCGCTTTGTGATCCACCACCGGCGGCCAGTCTTGGTTGTCGGTGATCAAGCGATGCCGGTGGCACAGCTCGGCTCCATCCGTATCCGTAGCAACCGTTGGCAGCTTGAGCTGCGGATGCAGCGTCCATGTAGGCGGATGCTGAGCATCCACAGCGCCAGACTCGGAAGCGAGCGCCGCTTGGTCCTCAAAAGCCCTGCGCTGATCCTCCGAGTTGCTCTCGGCGAATCCCTCGGAGTCTCTCGATATGTTTCTGAACACCAACAGCTGAGGCCCCATTCCACCTCGGTGGGTGAGATCGTAACCGTGGGCCTCGGCTGAATGAAGAGGAGGCGGCGGCGCAGACAGCGCAGGTCTGGTCGCCATCACTCCCGAGTCAGGTGCCTCCGTTCCGCTGGCCTGCGGAGCTTTGTTCACCGCCGAGATGTGGCCGTGATTCTGCGTGCATTCAAAGTTCCCCTTGATAGCCACCGACGACAGATTCCCATTCTCCTCGTCCAAGCGGTCATCCTCGGCCGCGGAGACCAGGCGCATCAAGACAAAATCGGGAGACATATCTTGCGCGTTGTTCATTATTATTCCTCAATATACTGAAGGAATGAGCGATATCAGCGTTTCACATTGCTTCCAGTCATGAGATCTCGCTCGTGTGATGATGGTGATGATGATGGTAAATCCTCTTGGTGTTAGTTAGTTAGCCCCCTCATTCAGCGCCAGACAATTAGTGCATATAAACTCTATTTCAGTCGTCCCTTCAACATTGCGCACGTCCTCGTCTCATTTCGCGTCCGGCCTTAAAAACCTCCACGGGTCTTTGTAGGTCATACATAACGCTTCGTTTCACGCAATCCTAACGGCGTCTGTGGTCACATTACTGTCGAGGCCCCACCCGCTCGCTCACTTCCGCAAATTCGATGCGTTCCTTGGACCTTATCTGTGCCATTGCTGTCCAGTTGGCTGCAGGCTATGTGCTGTAACGGTGCTTTCATGTCATTTACCGCGCTGTTGTCTGGAAGATGGCCTTACCCACTGATGTTTATGATGCATCAATTGTAGTGGCATCGCCTTTCCGCACGATTCCAGCGCCAGCGAAACTCTCCCTGCAAATCGGTTGCGTTATGAGTCTAAGACAAATGACTTGCATGATATCATCATTTGAATAATGACTCTAATCCTCATATAGCTACTAAAAACTTAAAGCATTGTGTCAAACACAAGGCCTACAATCAAGAGAATATCAAATATCATGCTATACATAATATTATGTAGCATGTATAAATATAACTTATTTAAACAAAAAATGCATTGGTTTTATTTATTTTTTTTCGTATTATTAACGCATAACATGGGGTATTTAACCAACAAGGTTTATATAAATTTAAATGCCAGAGTTTTCATTTAATGCATTTCAATTAATGTTATAGCCCAATAATTTAGCAAAATTCATTTTAGTTTTAGATGGAACATAGCATGTCAAACTGCAGGACACGTCATCTTTCCAAAAGTATTGCATGTCATCTACGCCTATAGATAATTGTACGTATGTATATGGCTATTAAAAGGAATATAGATATTCAATACAGTTATTGTTTACATTCACCCATTGTTCTGTGGTCAAGACTTTTCATTCGCGCTGTATTTGTGAAATGCGATTTCATTGATGGACCGAATGGTGTCGCTGTACACAAACATTTACACATCCCCACAAGAGCCCTTTAAAACCTGCCATCTCATAACACGAAGGGTGGATTTTATTACAGTTATGGGTTTACACAAATATCCAGAAGAAAATGTGTTTTCACAGAACGTTGTCAGAGAAATATTACATGCGTTGACTACATCCTCTCCAATTAAATGCATACAACTGCGCACAAAGCTGAACACACATATCCATCCATAAAAAAACATTTACACAATTTATTTTTTTGATGATTGTGTGCATGTATATAGATGCACATATGTGTATAGACACAGCCACAGCCTCTGCAGTCCTGAGTGGGGGTGGGGCCCCACAGGAATGAGTGTTGAATCTCAGAACCCTGTTGCCATGGCACCAAAACAAGGATTTGCCTGCATTACCCAGTATGACTGGATTTGTCTGAATCATCTTTCTGTCTCTGACACACACACACACACACACACACACACACACAGAGAGAGAGATCTGACAGACGTTCATTCATGTAGAACACATGTGGAACATGTTTTCTTCTTCCTTCATTTTTTTTAATTTTCCTGATTGTTGCACCAAACGTTTGGCACTTCAGAACGCAGTTTGTCTATCCGAGATTAACATTTCAGTGCACTTTATCTGCCAGGCAGATGCAGACTTGTAAACCGCTGCATGCACATATTCACAGATGCACAAAGTCGCACGCACGTACACAGTCCGTAAAAGACCACTCATGACTGACCCAGCCGGGGAGTGTTGGGTTAATCCACAAAGCGGTGAGATTCTGATGCATACCCCAACACAGAGGATTACCCTCCCATCCTCTCATCCATCAGCCCATCCTCATGCACACACACTCATCATAACAATCCAATATTAACAGATGTGCCACTCTCAGCGCTCACCACTACCGGTAGATTGGGAGAGATGGGAGAGAGGGGAGAGAGGGAGAGATTTACAGGAGGGCTGCAGAGTGAGTGAACAGGTAAGCAGAGAGAGAAACGGGTATGTTGATGGTTTCTCGTTGATCTCTGTTTCTCACTCCAGTTTCTTGCAGGTTCCAGCATCGTCGCATCCAGGGTGGACCCGACCCACTGATTGCAGGACGCATGGAGTTTAAGCATCGCCTGCTCTTTGAGCTTCTCCTTTACCTTCGAAAATGAATAGTGCATGTCGGTCCGTGTATGAATGCACACTTATCTGTGTGTGAAACCAAGACGCTGTTGGCAGCAAAGTGCGGTTGAACTCTATCACCACTGACACCTGTCAATCAGCTAACAAGAAGAGGAGAGAAGAAACAAAACCAGGGATAGAGAAGAAAAGAAGGCCAAGCATCTTTCAGGATGTGAGTAAGCACAAAGCTGATCTTTACCTTCACAAAAAGCATTGGAGGAGCAGTTGCTTCAAAGATGGGCCTGTGTGTTGGTCTGCTACCTCTACTGCTGCTACTTCCCATCCTGCTCTCTGCTCAGCTCACCACTGTGTCTGAACTTGAGGACACGTCCAGCTTGGAGTTCACCCCAACTCCTTGTCTTACTGACCCAAATACTGTAGCGGGGAAGAACTCGTCTTCCAGTGCTCGACCCACCAGTCCGGCTCCAGTAAAAGCGAGCACGGAGGAGGACCAGTCTGCCGCGGAGAGCTACCTCTACACTGGCAATTCGTCTTCTTTGGCTGCCTCTACCTGCACACGGAGTTTCCAGCTGCCTGTTCGACTGGGATCTCCGCCTAGAGACCTTCTCCCTCTCTTGCACCAAGCCATAGCGTCTCTGACCAATGCTGCCAACTTTCTCAACCTGATATTCCAAGCTAGTGAGCTGAGAGAAACAAGTGTACGAGAGGATATCGAGTGGTACCATGCACTGGTGCGGGCCATGCTTGAAGGGGACAGGCCGGGCCTGGTCAGACGAGCTTTTCTAACATTCGATGCCGACCCCACGATCCTACAGCCCCAACTGGTGCTCCATGCCTCCAAAGGCACAACCCAGGACATTCTTCTGCAGGACCTGACGTCTGCCTGGAGCAGCTTCCATCCTCCTGCACCTGACCAAAGCTGGTTCGATATGTTTAAGTCTAGCTCTCCACCCCTCCATGCCTTGTCGAAACGGGTTCTTCTAAATGACCTAAGCACCCTAGATACTCCCAAGTGGGCACGTGGGGATAGTTATGTGATCAATAGCAGTGGGGTTCAGTGGGGCGAAGCCCCTTTCCTTGAGTGCATTGATGGCCGTTTTTTGCCAGGGTGGTTACTCAGTTTCTCAATGCCATTTTATGGGTTGAAGCCAGACCTCAACCCAGAGTTCCGGTGAGTGCTGAAATGGTTTCTCGTTTTTGTGTGTTCAAGTTTGTGTACTCATAATGTCTTTAAAATATTTCTTAGTGTCAATTCACTTGAAGGGATAATTCGTTTAAAAATGGACATTAATTATTCTTCTGTGAAATACAAAAGAAGATATTTTGAAGAATGTTTTTGTCCATACAATGAAAAGGAACAATTCCATATTTTATAGACAAAAACGATCTTCTTTTGTATTTCATTGAAGAAAGAAACTTGTCAGATTTGGAACGACACAGCAGAATGTCAATTTTTGGGTGAACTATCCGATTAATTTAATTTCAAGTCTTCCATCATTAGTGTATCTTTGCTTTGGTGGTGTAGGGGTGTTATCCGTGTCGACGTCAACATCCAGGGATTCAATGTGGATCAGTGTGCCAGTGGAGACTTCTGGTTTGCAAACACACATCAATGTAATCAGACCAGCATGGAGGTGAGTGTACTGTACACTGAACACAAATTCAATCATCTCATATAGGACTTACTGCAGGCACCAAGGGCTTCCAGTGTCATCAAGTTTAATCAATACTTTACAATAAGATTCAACTTATTAACATTATTTAAAGGGATAGCTCAACCAAAAATGAAAACTCTGTCATCATTGATTTCCCTCGCGTCATTCCAAACTTTTCAGACTTTCCTTTGTTGTGCGAAACATAAAAAGGATATTTTGAAGAATGTTTCGGTGTTTAGTATTAAAACATATTAGTATATTTAGATTACTAAAATGCTGTAAGATTGTTAGTTCATCGTGTTTTCATTGTCAAACTGAAAGAAAAAAAGAGAAACTTTAACCCACAACGAATGCAGCAATATACAGTATAATAGGCTGTTTTTGCATGGGTGGATTTCACTAACCAGGGACAAGCAGGGCCAAAACACATTCAGAGATCCACTCAAAACGCGGTGAAGTGATTTATTTTTGTGTGTCTCTGTGAGCATGTTTGATTCTCCGCTGCAATCTATAATGTTAGCAATTGAATTTTGTTACCAGCTATGGTTTCCTCTAATATTCTTCCTGTAAATTACATCACAAGATCAGTTTTTTTGGATTGATGCTCCTTAAAAAATGTATACCTGGACCAAAAATAATAATTCTTTCATTTACTCCCCCTTACATTGTTCCAAACCTGTATGACTTTCAACATAAAAGACGACAAATTAAGAAATGTATTTTTTTATTCATACAGTGGAAGTCAATGATAACCAAAACTGTTTGGTTACCAACATTCTTCAAAATATCTTCTTTTGTGCTCCACTGAAGAAACTCATACAGGTTTGGAATGACATGAGGAGTTTTTATTTCTGCATGAACTATTCTTTTAACTTTAAAACCGCTCACTGTTTCATTAAGCCTGTTGCCGTCAGATCTGGCATCTCTCTATGTATATTATCTAGATATTAAGTTTGAAATCCATTAGTACATCACCTGCTTTGCTCGTTATTTTGCTGGATTGTTATATACGTTTACCATTTCCTGTTTTCTCCCACTTTCATCCAGACCTTCTATTTAAAGATGTGAGCACTGGGTGCAGGATGATCTGAAGGATTAGGTTGATAATCCCGTGATGCTCACACACACAACCCCCCATCCACCCAACTCCGACCCCCTCCCAGAGGGCACAAGCTCATACACCCCCCTTTCACAAGACCCAGACCCCCCCATCGTCCCGTCCTACCAGAGCACAAGCTCACAGGTGTTGGCAGGTGAAGCAACGGCAGGATTTGGCACACTGAACGAATTGAATGAGAATTGAGTTGATCCGCCTATAAATGAAAGGAGCAGCGTATTAATAGAACAGTGTCATGATGATGCATTCATTACATGAAACATTAGTTTGACATGATGCATGATATAGTCCCATGATTAAGGTTACATATGATGTTGGACACAAACTCTGTTTATTTAAATGGATAAAAAAGACAAGCATTAGTTTTGGTGAAATATTTTATAGTTTCACAGACTATTACATAGAAGATACAGATTCAACAATCAGTGCAATAAATACAAACATTTAAAAGGATAGTTCACCCTAGAATGCAAATGACATCATCATTTCCTTTGTTCCAAACTTGTAAGAGTTTATTTCTTCTGTTGAAAACAAAAGAAGATTGCTGGTAACCAACCAGTCGCTGGTCCACACAGATTTCCATATTATGGACAAAAAAGTACTATGGAAGTCAATGGGGTCCAAAAAATGTTTGGTTGTCAACATTCTTTAAAATATCTTCTTTTATGTTCAACAGAAGAAAGAAACTCATACAGGTTGGGTAAGCAAATGATGACAATTTTCTTTTTTTGGTTGTACTATCCCTTTAACGAAATTAAGTTTAGAAAAAAGACAGAGAGTCAATCACTGTAAAATGTACAGATATAATATGTTACTCCTTTCCAAGAATCAACAAAATTATTTTAATAATAAATAGAAACCGAAAAGAGACAGGAATAATTTATTCCTAATTGTTCCTCTCCACATAATATCCTCTTAAGAATCATGTTCTTAAGTGAGTTGCCTGATTAAATAAAGGTAAAATAGAAAATACCATAAATGTATGTGAACAGTGCTGGATTTCCCTGAATAAAAAGATAAAGCTCTGTCAATGGAGGTATTACCCCTCCATTTAGGATTTAGCTTAGATGAACTCAGAGTGAGTCTGATGTGTGGGTCAGCCGACTCTCGCAGATAAACCACTGATGAGGGACTGACTGCACATGCAATTAATGGCAGAATGCAGAGAGAACACAATCATACTCAGTCGCTGGCAGGAACATCAGTGTTGATTTCCCCTTTCTGGGAGCAAGACATTTGCTTACCGCTGAAGGTAAACACGTGAGCAGACTTCATGTCTCTTTCTTTCTCTTCCCCTCAGTGTGAATCCATCCCGCAACAGGGCTTCCGGATGGGCCAGTACTGCTGCCGATGTAAAAAGGGCTACTACAGTCCAAATCCAGACACAGAAAACAAAAGTAAGAATCTTGAAACGATCAAAAATCGAGTCTACAGTGGCTTCAGTCTTATTTTATTGGATAATATATAGCTAACATGGTGACTTATAAGAGTACCTGAATTATTTATTAAACTTAAGTTATTTGTATTTTTGATAACCCTAGTGAAAAATAAATATACTAAAATGGATTTTGAATTAAAACTTAAACTTTGAATTAAAACTTGCAATTGTACTTTTAGTATACTAAACTGCTATACTTAAAGTCTGCCAAATTGGAACAACTAATTTTGTGCTTAATGCACTTAGCTCCATTCAACACATTTTATCATGTTTAAATCCATTCTGCAGAATTCCAATGATTTTATCTTAATCAGCTTAAAATGTGAAGAAGAAAAAAAATGATTTGGACTGGCCTAGCTATCGCTTAACTGTTGGTGAGCCAGCTGAAAAGAGGTCAAGGTAAAACTAATTCTGGAATGAAGTATAAAAAAATAAAAGTAAAAAAAAGGCATGAAAGAAAATTCACATCTATTGTCTAAATTAATGTTATTGAACTTATTGTGAAAGATCCATCCATGCATGTGTTGCAGTTCATTAAAAAAAAAAAAAGCCCCGCCCTTGTCTTAAAACTGTAAATATCTGGGTGAAATATTAAGCCACATGACCTGAGGCAAAGTAACATTAATTTTTTTATGACTTTTTTTCCATTGTAGTTTATGCACGTTGTCTTAAGTATGTAGTATTCACATACTATGTACAGTATATATATATATATATATATATATATATGTGTGTGTGCACTTTAATTGTGCAGAATAAGTAATACATAGTCAAATAATAAAATTATTAGTTAATAGTGCTGAAGTTCAACATAAGACATACTGAAGTATATTTGATTGTGCTAAAGTGGAACTATTGCAAGTATACTTCAGGTACACTTTAAACACCTCGCATTTAAAGACTGATTATTGATCACTAAAATATGATACTATCCTCATCAATAGTGACATTAAAACACATTTTAGGCTTAATATTAAGAAATGTGCATTGTGCACAAGTAGTAAT